GGTGAGAGATTGTGGGTTTACATACTGCTTTGGGTGTTCCCTTCACTGGATTTTTTTGACATCTAGAAGAAGAAAGAAAGGTGGTCAGAATTTAAAGTAAAGCACTTTAAAACAGCCTAAAGCAGGGAAACCAGATCATAAAACCAAAGCCATGTTTCTCAGCACAGCCCTGAGGCTTCTGGAGCCACTGGGCAGAGCCTGAAAGCACTGAAGCAACGACATGCAGGGCCACACAAATTCAGGGGGGAGAGGGTTTTAGTGGGTGTACTAAAACGGAGAATATAATTCCTAAACTGGAGAATATCATTCCTAAACCCCAACAGGTACAAACAGACACAGAAAGATAACCTGTAACGTTTGGTGACATGCTAAATTGCTCATGAATTTCGAGATTGGAAAGAATTAACTATTCCTTCATTGCACTCACACCAAAGCCAGTGCAGTTTAGGGTATGGGTCTTTTTCTCCTGCCTGAAATGAACGTTGTTTTCAGGCAACTAAAAGGAATTAATTGTGGATGAATATCCTTGTTTGCACAGGTCAACAGCTGGCAACCCTTGTTTTTTTATCTACAGAATGGGTGTGAGAATAACTGCCACATCCTGCAGGTACTCCTGCAGGAGGGCTCTGCCTTCCCCAAGTGCAGGAAATAATCAAACACTGATAATCAGACACTTCTGAAAGGGGAACAAACTTTACGCTACAAGGCATACCTGTCTTTGCTATAAAAGCAATAAAAGCATTCACATAGCATAAAGAATCTCCCCATGAAGAGGGAACAGGGTCTGTGACTTGGCTCTCAGCAAAAGCAACCCCAAGAACAAACCCAACAGAACCATCTTAAAAGTCACCATTGGTGCAGTTTGAACCCCGTGTCCCAGCAGACCTAAAAATCTGCTGCCTTTGGGGCAGATACATTAAAATCTACTGCACAGCAACATAAAACAACTGCAGCTTTAACATAGTCTGAATTATTCATTAAAAAAGCTCACACAGAGGTGCCCCTCACAAGGAATCCAATACTCACTTAAGTTCTGCTCTGCTGGCAGCTGTACCTGCTCCAGCCGGGACTCTCCTCACGATCACCGATGAATTCTTCAGAATCAGGGCATTGGCGTCGGTGTATTCTCAAAACAAACACGAGAAAAGACACCCCATGAGAATGGGTATTCATGGGAAGGGATACTGATATCCCTTTAGGGATCTGAAGGCAAAATTTTGGCTGCAACATCGTGCTTTGATTGTCTCAGTGCACAGATGGAACCTTTGAAGAAATCTTCAGGTCTGATAATCAAATGAAAGTAACAAAATCTTTCTATCTCTTTTTTTTTTTTTTTTAAAGTAGTTTGAATGGCAACAGCAAAATGCTCTCAAAGGTCACTGAAGGACAGTTGGTAATTCAGGAAGTTCTTTCCTGCTCTGGCTTGAGTTGCTTTTGCTTCTGCCAGGCTACAAACACAGTAGATCCTTGGGCTTCTCTGGGCAAACCTGTGCCAGGGCCTCACCACCCTCACAGGGAAGAATTCCTTCGCAATATCCCATCTAACTCTGCCCTCTATGAGTTTAAAAAGATTGCCTCTTGTCCTGTTACTACCTGGCTGTATTAACAAGTACCTTTCCCTCTGCCCCTCCTGGCAATCAGTTTAGAAGTGCCAAACTCACCAGATCCCACAGAATCCAAATAAAAACACCAGTTCAAAACATCAACCGTTACTGTAACACATCACTTCATCTAGAAAAAACCCCAGCTGTCCAAACTATTGAAGTAAAGGTGTTTGCCATGACAGAGTAACCTAGAAAACCTCAGATGGGTTTTAATACATTAGTCCTTTTAAAAGACCCCCTCGAGGTACTGGGTGAGTGCTTTGATGTGTCCCCAAAGCCTTCTCTGTGCTGAGATATCCTCCCATATTTCATCATCATTTTACCTCGAAAATTCCCAGAAAACAAAAGAAATTTACAACCAGTGTACGTTGCACATCAATCTCACGTTTGGGTTTGCCACCCTGGGGTCACTTGCACTCCCAGTCTCAGCACGCCCCAGGCTGGACAGGTCCCAGGGTGACTGCGTGGGGGCCACACACGTGCCCCTCATCCCTGGGTACCTTCATTGGTCTGGGCATTGAGGATCTGCAGGTTGCTGTTCGCTGCCTTCAGCCTCTTGCAGGCCATGATGCGGTGCTTGAGTTCACCCAGGGCGATGCTGGGGCCGTTGAAGGTGACCACGTCGGAGCTCAGCATGGAGGAGAACTTGTAGTGGACGTGGGACATGGTCCCACAGCCCAGGTTTGGCCTCTGCTCCCTCTCACACACACATACACAGCCAAGAGTGACCCCTCACTGCGGGGCCTCCGTGTTCCAACAAGGGAGTTTTGGGGCACAACCCACAGGAGAACAGGAGAACACCCCCCAGCCCACTCTGTGACCTCACGTGACCAAGAGTGCCATGGAAAAATCATAGCAGCATGGAATCCCAGAATGGTGTGGGTTAGAAAGGACCTTAAACCCATCCAGTGCCACCCCCTGCCACGGGCAAGGACACCTTCCACTAGCCCAGGTTGCTCCAAGAACCATCCAACCTGGCCTTGGACACTTCCAGGGATGGGGCAGCCACAGCTTCTCTGGGCAACCTGTGCCAGGGCCTGCCCACCCTCGCAGGGAAGCATTTTTTCCTAACATCTAATCTAACCCTGCTCTCTGTGAGTTTAAAACCATTCCCCCCTGTATTTCAAGTCCCTCTCCCGTATTTATAAGCCCCCTTTAGGCACTGGAAGGCCACAAGGAGATCTTCTCTTCTCCAAGTTTAACAGACCCAGCTCTCTCCTGACGTGGCTCCCCTGTGATCTGTCAGGGTGTAAGGCAAGGACAGCTGCAGGTGCAGGTGAAACATGGAATTGTAGCATCTCCCCCTACAGCTGCAGAGCTGAGCGAACAACAGCTTCCCTATGCAACTGTGCAGGATTCCCAGTGCTTCCCTGTTTCTCCAGGAGAAAAAAAACAAAGTCTGGGCAGAAGAGATTTTTAGTGAAGCAAAGGATGAAAAAAAAAAAGGACATTTGCTAGAAAAGCCAATATCTGATAAAGATGCAATTTATTTTTTTTTTCAGGTGAAAGTTGGCTGGAACTGATACCTGCTGGCTTTTGTCTGCTTTGTTCTTCCTCAGTTCCTTCTCTTCTCTGACTGAAAAACTGCAAGGCTGACCAAGCCAGCCAGCCCAATACTATCAGAGTGTGTCATTCCCAAGTAGAGAGGTGTAACCTTCATCTGTAGTAAAAGCTGTTGAGAAAATCATGAATCACCTCCCATTCTGCAAGTCCAATTCTTGACTGTTTTCTCACTCCTGTCGATAGAACCGTAAATTACTTTAAATAGCACTTAAAATTTGTAATTTTTCATACCAGCAAGTTCTTGGTGCCGTTAAGAGAAACTTTGTGCTGAGAAGGCACTAGAGACATATGGCAGTGTTTCCATATATAGATTTTGTCTCCCCTGAGATGGAGTTATGTTGTCATTTGAAAGCTTAGTGGAAGGATTTTTGGTTTTATCATAATCAGCATCAGCCTGCTGCTGCAGCTACAGCATAAGGATTCAAGTTGTTTAAGCACTAAATTGAATTTTCACTTTCCATGTAGCTGTCATTTTTTCCAGTCCTCTTAATTCTTATCTTTAAATAAACAGTTTAAATATTTGCTTACTTGAGGTCAAAACAGTGCTATCTATCCTTGTCCTGTTAAGATAAGCTACTTGTTTGAAAGGCAGAAAGTTGAGATGACCAAGAAAATATTTAGAAGAAGGAGGCCTACAAGAGAGCTGGAGAGGGACTTTGGACAAGGGCCTGGAGTGACTGGACAAGGGGGAATAGCTTTTAGCTGAAAGAGGATAGATTTAGATTGGATGTTGGGAAGAAATCCTTCCCTGTGAGGGTGGGCAGGCCCTGGCACAGGTTGCCCAGAGAAGCTGTGGCTGCCCCATCCCTGGGAATGGTTGGGGTCAGGTTGGATGGGGCTTGGAGCAACCTGGGACAGTGGAAGGTGTCCCTGCCATGGAACGAGATGGGCTTTAAGGTCCCTTCCAACCCAAACCATTCCAGGATTCTAGTCCATGTTCTTCAGCTGGCCAAAGCTGAGGAAGGGGAAGAAGAAAGGGAAGCACAAAAGAGCTGCTGCATAAGCAGGATAAGAGAGGGTAAGAAAGATCTTTACAACGAGGTTCAGAGAGGACCCCCTTGCTTTCTAAACTCTTACAAAACCTCGGTTCAGCCAGGTCTAATCTTAGCCTCAGACTTTGACAATGGTGGTGCCCTGTTTCAGGAGGAAAGTCACTGCTGTGCAGTCCAGCTGCACTTCAGGGACAGCCCAAACTGAGCTTATCCTGAGGGCAATGTTTACAGAGTGAAGTAGCTGGCTGCTAGTAAGTAGGCTAGAGAAGATAAAGGTCTTTGTTTCAGCTCTGTTTTCTTTTGTACTTTGGTTATCTGGTATGTTTGGGCTTTGAAACCACCTTTCAAAATATTTTTTCCAAGGCACCCTCATTTCCTTGTACCTGAGCCAGGAGCTTGTAAGTTCACACCAGGGCACGGGACCTGCTGCTCCTCAGTCAGCCGGATCCAAAGTATGGATGAAGATCAAGTGTATCCCTAAGAGGCACAACAGTGATATTTGCACAACTGCCCTGGGGCCTCAGTTGCCATCTCTGTATGTCACTGCTTGTGTTCCTACCTTTGCAAATTTTTTTTAAATAGGCAAGGGAGTTTTCTTCCGATAATAAAATTCAGTGTTGCCACATGACTGGTTTCCGAGCAGTGGTTGGATTTACTAAGCAGATAGTGACAGACTTGGGTTTCCACCCAAGTTTTTTGCATCCTTTCTTCAGTTATGCAAGATTATGGTGCGTATGTGAGCACATTTTATTGGATAAGCAGGTAGAAACACCAGGTGTGTCTGTTCTAGCTACTGTGGTTGCCCTTGGCAAAGCCTGGTCCTCTCACTTTCTCGCCATGGGTTGATTAGAAGGCCTGAAGCTGTGTGAGGAGCACTCTGAGTTAACTCACTGAGCACCAAGAACCTGTCCTTTACCCACAAAGCTGTAAGAAACCAGGCTTCACACCTTCCAGGGCTTGTGGTTCCTTCACCACAAGGTGGTCAGGCCCCAGCACGGGGCCTCAGGGGCAGCAGGAAGGGTTCATCCTCCCTCCCTGTGCCCACCTGGGGAACGAGCGCCTGGCAGTGCTGAGGCTGAGACACGACAACCCCCAGAGTTCTGACACGTGTGGCCCCGCATTGCCCTCCCAATCCAAACCATTCCGTGATTCCACGATCATCCTGTGATTCCTGGCCCTCTGCGAGCATCATTTGCTTGTTTGTACGTGACTTGCTGGTTAGACGGTGGGCTCAACACCCAAGGCGGCCCCACCAGTGCTGCATCCGGGGGATGGAACCCCCCAATCTCCGTATGGTTGTCGCCCTGGGCACCCCCTTGGTGGCTGCTGTGAGGTCAGAGCTGTGGCACGGGGTGGGGGGGGGGGACAGAACCCACAGCTGCCCCGTGGCCGCTGCCCCAAGCAGAGCCCACCCAAGGGGCTGAGGAGGTGAGAGCTGAGCCGAGATTGCCCGGAGATGGCGAGGAAAAAACCTCCCCAGAGGAGACGTCGTGAGGCCTCCAGACGCTGCCTGGGGTGTGAGGATGAGGTGGCAGAGGTGACTGTGGAGCTGAGAAGCAGGTAAGGGGTCGGCTGCTCCTGCCCCGGGGGTGTGAGGTTGGGGCAGTGGGATGGATGGGGCACAACGAGGTTGGTGGGGCTGGAGCAGCACGGGGGAGATGGCAGATCAGCCCTGTGGTGGGCAGAGCCTTCCTTCTGGGGGGGACTGGCCTAGGCCAAAAGCTCTGTGTGGGGAAGGGAGGGGTTTGGAGACCACCAGCACCCAGGGAAGAGGTGGGGGTGCCACGGTGGGGCAGAGCAGGCTGTGCCCCCTCTCCAAACAGCCACCGAGAGGTGCCTGCCCAGGGGAAGGTTTGGGTCGGGGAGAAGGAAGACACAGCGTGAGAACTGGGCTGTGCTGCTGGAGGGGACTGCTGATACCAGCTTGTTTCTCTTCTCCTGGAAGCAGTGAAGATGCTCCACTCACTGCAGCTCTGGTGACCCTTCATCTGGAAAAGGCCAAAGAAATTGCAAGTAAGCTCCTCACTGACACTTGTTGTGACATCCTCTGGGGTGAGCTGGGAGAGCTGTGCTGTGCCAGAGCTCCAGCCCACTGTCCTTAGTGGCAGGAGGGGTGCAGGATGCTGCACCTTTTACCCCACGGAGGGATGTGTAGGGCCCAGTGCCCACGTCTGGCTCGGCATCCTACAGAAAAAAGACCCCAAGAAACAGGCACAACTTTTCTACGGTTTCTTTGCCCAGGGACGTTCTTGAGGCTGATTTGCCAACTGACAGATGACCTTGTCTTCCTGGGGAGAAATCATCTGAGCCCATACATCCTCAAGGCGTATGTACTGCATGTTTCTGCTGTGGACAAGGGGCAGGATGGGAATGTCTGAGTGCAAGCAGAAGGGAGAACTGATGGTGTTCCTCAGCCAGCAGCCCGGGGCTTTCACCTGAGCCCTGAATCTTGGGTGCTGTTGTGCTGCAGCCACTCTCAGGCAGAGCCAAGAGCAAAGCCCCTTGGCAGTGTCACTGGCACACCAGGGCCAGAGCCCCCAGGTTTGGCTGTGGTAGGACAAACTGCCACGTAGCCTGGCATTTGGGGCAGAGCCAAGTGCCTGCAGGGGAAGGACTTTCCCCAACTCTGGCGAGAGATTGTGCAGGTCTGGGAAAGCTCTGGGAGCAAAGCCAGGCAAGACTTCTGGGCTTCCCTGCTGAGAAGGGGTTTGCCCAAGACTTGGCTCACTGACAGCCCCAGGACTCCCTCTCTTTCAGGCAAAAGATGGTCCAGCAGAAGAAGAGGTTTAAAGTCTATGCCTTGTTGCTCTCAGTGTATCTTGGTGAGTTTTCAGGAGCAAACAGCTGAGAGCAAAGGCCTGGCTGTGCTGGATGCCAGCTCTCCTTTGGGGCCATTATGTGTGGAAGCTCCTGTGGCCCAAGAGCTTCCCAAGCGTGTCCTTGACTGGGACTGACGTTGGGATCACCAGTAAGACTTCCCAGGTGGTCTCATGGCCATGCTACTGTTCTGGCCGCTGGACTGAATGGCTTGCAAGGCTGCAAGAGAAGAGTGTAGGTATTTCCAGGGCTGAGCTGGGGATGCCCAGAGGGATGGGGCTATGCAGGGGGATGGATGCATCCTAGCCCATGCACCCTGGTGCTCCCTGAAGTGAGGGGAAACAGGGAGCAGCTCTGGGGCATGGAGCACACCTGAAGACCAAGCTGTGATGTCTGCTGAAGCCTGGGCTGATAGCCCCAGTCACAGGCACGTCCTCTCTCTGCACCCCACCTTCCACACCCCTCAGCTCACTCCCAGGGCAGCAGGGAGGAGACAACAGGCCCTCAGGGTCTGCTGCCAACCCCTATCCAGTAATGATCTCTTGGTGGTGTGAATTGCAGCTGGTGTTTTCTGTGGGACCTCCCTGCCAGCTTGGACACTGCTGACAAAGGGCCTGATGCAGGTTGGTGAGGGTGGCTGGATAAACCAGAGCGACCCAAAGAAGCAGCAGATTGTGCTGTGCCTTCCTAGGGAAATCTTCCCGGGAAGCCTGGTGGCTCTGGCAGTGGATGTTCTAAGAGAGAGTTTTCCCTTGCAGGAGCTGACAAGTGTATTTCCAGCAGGCCTGAAGACCTTCTGGTAAGAGATGTTTCCTGAACTGGAACTGGGCCTGTACAGAGGTGTTAGCTGACCTTGCTCATTTTCCAAAGGCTCCCGTACTTCCCTCCTGCCTGTGCCTTTTGCTCAGCTTGGGGGGTGGAGGGAAGCACTGGAACAGCAGGGAAAGCACACGTGTGTCTCCTCACTGACTTCAGGTGCTTCACCAAGTGGATGGGCTCCCCTGACAGGATCTGCTTTTCTGTTCCTGCAGGAATTCGGACAAGCTGACTGAAATCCAAAAGTTGCAGCTTCTGCTGGAGGAGGTCAGTCAAAGGAGTGAAGTGACCCTGAATTCTGGGGAAAGAGGCTTGGCTGGGCAGAGCCCCCGAGGTGGCGCTCCTTGGGGTTGTTGGTGGGGTCAGACCGCTGTGGCCACGGGTGCTGTTGCTCAGTCCTCGTGTCTCACAGTCCCTCAGCTCTGTGGGCACAGCTTCCCATGCGTGTCTGACACCCAGCTCTGCCTCTGTGGGTGGCCGTGCTGAACTGCCCACTGGTGTGGTCCTTTCCTGTGTTTGCTCGTAGCTTTCCCAAGAATTGACCAGGATGACTTTGGAATCCTATGTCAAGACTGACTGGGCCCTGAAGAGCTCTGGTAGGGACACAAGCAGCCCGGTCTCCTTGCCCTTGTCTGTGTCCTGTCCTTGTCCTCCACAAGGATGGCTCTGGGGTTGCCCCCCACACATTCCTGTGCTGGTGGCACAGGGATGACAGATGTTCCTGTGCTGAGGGAGGGCCTCTTTTCCCCTCTGCTGCACTTGGAATGGGAATGACTGGGTTGTTCTTTGCTGCTTCCCAGCACTCTCAGGCCTGTGAGAGAAGCAGTCACCAGGCATGTGTCTGCTGTCATTGCCCTGTGCAGCCAGGCATCCCCACTGGTGGGGAAATGAGGACATGGAGATGGCCAGTGGCATCAGAAATGGTGTCTGAGCACCAAGCCCTCTCAGTCTGTAGCCTCCTGCAGCCATCTGCTCTCCCTTCCCTACAGGAGCCACCATTGACACCCAGAGAACTTCCCAGACCTACGACTGCAGAGAGAGTTGGGTCTGCAGGATTTTATATTTCTTCTGGACTGCCAACCCTCCTGATACTATTCTGCAGGTATCTCAGCAGAAATCATCAGTGCCAGTTTCCTTCCTTCCTGTGAAGCTGAGGGACCTTTCTCAGGGGCTGCTCAAGCCACAGTGTAGATCAGATTCCTCAAACTGGAACACAGGGCTGGGCTTGCTGGGGAGGGGAGTGGAGCTGAACTGGGCTGTGCTGCTGCCTGCTGCCCACAGTCCTCAGCCACAGCTGGGTGAAAGGCTTTCTCTCTACCTGCTGACCCTGTGTCATGGTTAATTTTAGCTAAATTTCTTCATGCCATTGTGTGGTTTTGGAAAAGTGCAGGGGGCCACCGCCGTCCCCACACCCCAAGGCAGGGAGCAGGGAGGGTCCTACTAGGAAAAATACTGTGAGAACTTAAAAGAATAAAGATGCTGGCATGGTGGGAACTAGCTTTCTTTGTTTCCTGTGACTGCACCCCCATCTTTTCTGTTATTGTTTGGTTGTTATTTTGTTCCCTCTTTTTAGTAAAATTGTTGTTCATTTCCATGCTCTGCTCGAACGCCTCATAATTTCAAAAAAATTCATAATTTGTGGGGAGGGGTTTTCATTCCATCAGAGGTCCTGCCTCCTGGGACACATTGCCAGTAAACCAAGACCCCCTGTTTGCACACTCACCCCTAAGAACTGCTTTTCATGGGCGGGTGGGGGGAGCAGGGGGGAAGCCCCCCATGGGGACCCTGGGCAGAGGTGTTTCTGCTTGGCCCCGACCAGGATGGTTTCATAATCAGTATTCTCTGTCCTGTCATGCTGATCCCCCTTTGGCTGGCAGGGAAGGCCTGATTTTCAAGCTGAAACAGAGCCCACAGAGATCCCAGCCCCAACGCTTCAAACTACACGGGCGGTTGTGTTGGCCCCGACCTCTCACACGTCATTGCTCTCGCATTCTGGTTGCAGCCAAATGTTTCCCCAGGAAGCTGCTGGGCTTTCAAAGGGCATGAGGGCCAGGTGGTCATCAAGCTGCCAGCACGAGTCCACCTTACTGCCATCACAGTGCAGCACATCACCAAAGACGTCTCTCCGAGTGGCACCGTCATCAGTGCCCCCAAAGACATCGCTGTCTTTGTAAGTCTGCTGGGCACTTCTGCCGGGGTTCTGGGCCTGGGGGGAAGCCAGGACAGGGTCTTGCTTGCTTTTGGGCATCCTCTGAGCTCTGTGCCTGTCACTGCAGTGCCCAAGGGCAGCACTTCAAGGGCTCGAGAGGTTCATCCTTCTTAAGACTTGTTCTGGCTAAGCACCTAAGGGTTCTTGACCAAAATTCAAGGCAGAGCCTGAGCTCTGCCCTAACCAGTGCTAGACTA